ACGCTGGCCCTTTGAAAACTTGCAACGTGTGGAAGCTATGTATGGGTGAAATATAGGACTGACATCGCCTCTGCTTGCTGTGTTTGACACACTCTTCCTTTTGGCGACCCCCTCCCAAAATGCATGGTGTTTGCCCCACCCTCAGAAGCAGGAGTGCCATCAGACGTTGTGGGTTCCCTGAGTAGGCACGTACTTCTGAAACTTTCTCATTGCACGTGCTGTGCTCAGGACTTGGGGTTTAGGACTTCACCCAAAACGAAACGCACGCCAGGAGCAGCCTAGATACATTCATTGACTAAAGCTTCCCCTAAACCCTAAACCCTAAACCCCAACCCCGAAGCCCTAAGCCCTGAACCCTAACCCCAAACCATTCAGGTATGGAGGAAGCCTCGAGGCCTGAGTTCTCAGCCCCCGTTGTGAGGAACAGGGTTTCGGGTTTAGGGTTTGGGGTTTAGGGTTTGGGGTTTGGGGTGTGCCCTCGACCCTCAACCCAAAACCTTCAACCCTAACCCCAAAATCCCGGACGCTCGCCCCTAAACCCTAAACCCCAAACCACAGACCAAGCCCTACGCTATAAGCATGAGCTCTACGCTTCAATGTCGATGTTTGACTGTCTTGGGAAAGCTGGGCGGGGAGAAACCAAGGGTTCGATGCCGGGACACGGGATTCAACGAGTCTCCAAGTGGCATCGTCAGGGCATCGACCGAAAGCAGCGTTCATCATGGCCAGGGCAACGCGTTGGGCTTCCTTGCAGAATGGTTGGGCAGCAGAATGCTAAACGTATCAGGGTTTTGGGCAGCAAACAGTCTTAGCAAGTGTGTTATTCTGCCAAAGTTCTTCGCGTGAGCAAGCAGTCGGATACGGCGTAGAGCGAAGCAAAGTCGATGACGATGAAGAAGTACGCGGCATTGAGCGAGGCAAAGCCGAGGACCATGAAGACGTGTCCGGCACAAAGCCGAGGACCATGAAGACGTGCCGGCCACGGAGCGAGGCAAAGTCGAGGACCATGAAGACTGGTCTGGCATGGATGAAGACGGGTCTGGCATGGAGCGAGGCAAAGTCGAGGACCATGAAGACGGGTCTGGCATGGAGTGGCGGCGGTTCCAACGATTCACACGCTCCGAACTGTTCCACCCAGTGGCATTCCAAGAAGAGTCAGCATGCCAGGAAGAGTCTGAGGAGCCCGAGGTACGCCAGGAAGAGTCTGAGGAGCCAGAGGCATTCCACTCAGAGTCGGCATCACGGCGGTCCTGCCACTGCTGCACGTGCCTCCATCGGCGCTCCCAACGACTGAACTCCATGGACGAGTCCAACATCGAAAGAGACACGCGCAAGAAAGAGGTAAAGGTGGACAAAAACTTGGGCAACAAATGCCTGCGATGGCAAAACAAGACAAGGGAAGAGGTGGAGCCCAAATCCCCCACCCCCGCAAGAAAAACTATCAGAATGCTGAAGGTGTCTTCAGCTCCTTGGCATGGCCCGATGCTCAGCTACAAGGGCACATGAGCCATCAAGCCATAAAGCCATAAAGAGAATAGCAAGATAGATTCTCCCAATTCGGAGGCGTCTCGACTGCCTCCTTGGCGAGCTCAGCCGCCTCCCTTCCCTGCTCCTTGGCATCCTGCATCTCAGCACGCATGTGGCATGGATTCCATTCTCTTTTTTTTGGGGAGGGTTGGGGGTTTGTGATCGGGTGCCACTTATGGGCGGGCCGCCCTACCCAACCCCCGAATGTTCCGTGCAGAACTATGGACACCCCTTGACACCTCCGCAGAACCCGACGAAGAAGCGCGGCTGCCCCACAAAGGATACTCAGAGGGCGGATAGACAGCCCACCCCATAAATTGGCGCCCCATGTGACTAGTGCAGGGGACTGACGTTCCTGAGGATGCCAAGAAGAGAGTCATGGACAATGAGGCGCAGATCGAGGAGAACTACCGCATCTGCGCAAAATGGCTCAAGAAGCAGCAAATCAACCAGTTATATAGCTTGTTCGCCAAACCAGTCCTTGCTGTATCTGCGAGGACTCCGAGAGTGGCAACGGCAAGCCCAAGAAGGAGCCATTGAGCCAGTTCATGAGTCTGTTCCCGAAACCAGTCCTTGCTGTATCTGCGAGGACTCGGAGAGTGGCCACGGCAAGCCCAACAAGGAGCCATTCAGTCCGTTCATTAGTCTGTTCCCGAAACCAGTCCTTGCTGGCGAGGACTCCAAGAGTGGCCACGGCAAGCCCAAGAAGGCGCCATTCAGCCAGTTCATTCGTCTGTTCCCGAAACCAGTCCTTGCTGGCGAGGACTCCAAGAGTGGCAAGGGCAAGCCCGAGAAGGAGCCATTCAGCTAGTTAGCTTGTCCATGAAACCAGTCCTTGCTGCGAGTCCATGAAACCAGCGAGGACTCCGAGAGTGGCAATGGCAAGGCCACGTCGTCGGATGCAGGCTTGCCTAAAGCATAAACCCGAAACCCTACAAATGATACCCTTAGCCGTAAGTCCTTAACTCTTAATAATCCTAAACCCTAAACCGTGGACCCTCTCGGATTTAGCGGTTTAGGGTTTAGGAAGTTAAGGGTTTAGGAAGTTTGGGGCTTGAGCTCTAACAAAAAACCTTAAACCTCAAAGACCGTCCGGTGTTTTAGGTTTTTGGGGGTCAGGGTTTTCACAAAATTAGGAAGGTTTGGGTTCGGGACCCTTTCGGTTCTAGGACAAAACTTAGGAGGGTTTGGGTTCGGGACCCTTTCAGTTTTTGGAAACACTAAGCCGCAACGGAGGACATTTGGACCGCCTGGAGCGTGGTGAGCTGATCGACAGGCTTTTGATGTGAAGTGCCTACTCTGACACCCCTAAAGTTTAGACTCTAAACCCTAAACCCCACTCTGAAATCCCTAAAGCCTAAACCCCACTCGGAAACCCCTAAAGCCTAGACCCTAAACCCTGAACCCCAGCTCGAAACCCTTGACACTTACCGTGAAGCTCTACAGCCTCACGTACACAGTCGAGCAACGTGAGACGATTCCAGTCAATCGTCCATCCCTCAGCTTTGTGGCGTTCTCCGAAAGCTTTGACCCTAAACTCTGGGCACTTTCCGTCAGAAGTTACCCGAGCAATGGTAGACGATTCCAGTCAGTCGTCCATCCCTCAGCGTTGTGGAGTTCTCCGAAAGCTTTGACCCTAAACCCTAAGCCCCACTCTGACACCCCTAAAGCCTAGACCCTAATCCTAAACCCCAGTCTGGCACCTCTAAAGTTTAGACTCTAAACCCTAAACCCCACTCTGAAATTCCTAAAGCCTAAACCCCACTCGGAAACCTCTAAAGCCTCGACCCTAAACCCTGAACCCCAGTTCGAAACCCTTGACACTTGCCGTGAAGCTCTATCGCCTCCCGTACACAGTGAAGATGAAAGCCTCGGAGACTCTGGGCACTTTCCGTCAGAAGTTACGCGAGCAATGTGAGACGATTACAGTCAATCGTCCACCCCTCAGCCTTGCGGCGTTCTCCGAAAGCTTTGACCCTAAACCCTAAGCCCCACTCTGACACCCCTAAAGTTTAGACTCTAAACCCTAAGCCCACTCTGAAATTCCTAAAGCCTAAACCCCACTCGGAAACCCCTAAAGCCTAGACCCTAAACCCTGAACCCCAGCTCGAAACCCTTGACACTTGCCGTGAAGCTCTACCGCCTCACCGACACAGTGAAGATGAAAGCCTCGGAGACTCTGGGCACTATCCGTCAGAAGTTACGCGAGCAATGTGAGACGACAGCGAGAGTGCACAGGAGGTGCTTGCACAATGTGGCCCAAAGCTATAGCCCTAAGCCCTAAACCCTAATTCCTAAGCCCTACACCCTGCATAAACCCTAAACCCCCAAACGTGCAGCACATTATCCCCCGATTCCCTCCTGACCCACAGTAAGTGTGCGGGCTAGCAACTTTGTTGGGCTTGAGGTTTAGGGCTTCGGGCTTAAGGGTTTAAGGCGCCCTCAGCACCTCAGGGGTTTAGGAGCAAAGAAAAACGCGCCGATCCTAAGCCCTGAAGCCTAAACTTACTAAACCGTATCCCTAAACCCTAAACCCCAAACCGAATCATCATATTATACACAAAGGTTCCTCTTGCATATATATTTATATATATGTGTATATATATATGCATGCATATATATATATATATACGTTCAGGTACATTCCTTGAACAAGGGCGTTGCGCCGCTTACGGGCCCCTAGACCCTTGTGTTCAACTTGTGCAGGGTTGAGGGTTTAGGCGTTGAAGTTTATCGGGTTTAGGGTTGAGGGTTTAGGGGGTTCAACGTTTACAGGGTTTATAGGGTTTATACGTCTATACAGTCTATACGGTTTATACGGTGTAGAGTTTATACAGCGATGATTTTCAGGATTGGCGCATGGGCGTAAAAGGGAGTCCCCAAGTGCCCAAGAGTCTGTTATCAATCAAGCGCACGTGGGTTGAGGGTTTATAAGGTTTGCGGGGGCCATGTGTCTTAGTACTTTGTGGACCCTAGACCCTAAACCCTAAACCCTAAACCCTAAACCCTAAACCCGAGGCAGACCCCTATGACTCTATGGCCGCAGTCGTAGAATCTCCTGCGCGCCATCCCAAAACTAGGCCCCACGGTTCCCTCAGTGAGACGCTCAGCGATCTTGTCCCCACGTGACATTCATCTCTAAACCCTAAACCCTAAACCCTAAACCCTAAACCCTAAACCATCTTGTCCCCACGTGTAGTTCATCTCTAAACCCTAAACCCTAAACCCTAAAATCTAAACCCTGAACCCTAAGTCTTTCTTGGGTACCTCAGTACCTTCCCGAGAGCTCAAAGCTTCAGTCATTTTTTTTTGCAGATTTCTCTGGCTTTTTCTATTTAAAGACTGAAGCCGAACAGTATGTGCTGATTGGAATTACCCGAAGAAATTTTGGTTTAGGCAATTCCAGCAATGATTCAAGAAGGAGAACTACAAACCCTAAACCCTAAACCCCAAACCCTAAACCCTACTCGCAGGAGGGGCAAGCCCTCGTCTTCGACGACACCTACGTGCATTCCGTGAGACATGACGGTGCTGAACCAAGGCCGACGGGGGTCAAGGGTCCATGTACCACATTATTTTGCTTTTGGGCACCAAAGACCTATACAGGAAGCACTTTAAGGCTAAACTCTTCCCCATTTAGGTACAGGGGCCCTCAGGGTTACATAGGGGAAGTTTAGGGTTTTTGTTTGGGTTTTTCGAGATGATGGGTGCCTTCGCGTGCTGTGTCAGCGTAGACCAAAAACAGTGAGAGACCACGTGAGCCCAGCAGTCCAACAGCGTGTCGCAAGGCCACATGCCAACAGCGAGGACAGTGTTATTAGGGTTTAGGGTTTAGGGCCTTGCAGTGGGCGAAGCCTGACCTGCAAAAGCGGAAGCGGTTTCGCACTTTGCACCCCCGCGCCACGCCTAGGCAAGAGCGCGATGTTTGTCCAAAATGCGGGCAGGTGTCTAGAAAGATGCACGGTCCCGGGCCGCGTGTGCCTTGCGCGCCACAAGATAACTCTTCGCGTTCGAACCATTCAGTGTTGACTCACTGTTCGGGTAGAAACAGAAACGACCACCAGAGAAATGGGGAAACGCACATCATGAAGGCTACCTGCTTCCTCTTCGTTCTGTATGTCCTTGGTAGCCCAATGGTAGCCATTGTGCCCCTTTTTTGAAAAATCTCGAAGGGCCATTGGAATTAGGCACCCCCCAGACCGTATCTGTTTTGCTTTCAGGGTTCTTGTTTACTTACAAACAAATGGACGCCTGGGAAGTCTTCGTAGAACAAAATGTCAAAACCCTAAACCCAGAGCGCATTGCCGCAATTTCTAACGTACATGCGACATCAATCTGCCAGTGACGCAGGAGTCCTCGGGCTTGCATTCAGCATTTAGGGTGTAGGGTTTAGGGCTTAGGCTTAGGGTTTCGGGGTTAAGTTTGCTGACAACATGCTTAAAAGCAGGAGAACTGTAGCCACTACTTAAGCTTCAAACCCCAATAGAGAAATGTCTGGGTAGGGCTGAGTTTCCAGAGGCGTATTGCTTGAGTGGCCTGAAGCCCAAGCCCCACACCTGAGCAGTTGTCTCGCCCAAAACCTAAATTAAATCCCCAAGACCCCAAACACCCTCTTTGATATTGGTTGGCCCTGTAGTGCGCCAAGACGTAGCCAGTTCTCGCGTGTAAGCAGCAGGATGTATCTCGATGGCGATATCTCATGACACCTTGCCGAACTGACGTAGTCCTAGATTTCAATTCCCGGACAGGTACGTCCTTGTCTCTTGGTTTTGCCATCCTTGTGACCAAACTTGGCGCGACCGTCTTGGCCACGAGTGGCTGAAGGCAGTCATTAGGGTTTTGTTGGGGCTGTGGGGTTCTCAAGCCGTTAAAGAGGGTAAGGGCCCACGTTAAGGGACCATGAAACTACCCTTAGACGGGCTTAGGACCTTCATGTGCATGAGACCTAACCCTCTATACCCTTGGCCCTATGAACCCTGAACCTGCAACCACTGGCAGCAGTTCAGTTTGCTCAGGTTGGCTCGGCAGCAAAGTTGGACCAAACTACAGCTTCAACCGCCCAAGACCTTTGACCCTCAGCCCTAAACCCGATCTGGAGCCCTAAACCCTAAATCATAACCTTACGCCCTGAATTGAGTTTTGGAGTACTATACTTTAATGTTTTTTTTGGTTCTGGGTTCCTACTATAGATACTTGTACCTAAAAAGTATATACTTTCTTCCCGGGTCTACTCCAAAGGCGGGTGAATCATGCTTCTTCTCGAAGGCTGTAACTCCTGGAGTGCCAGACGAGAGCCTCCATTGAATCTAGAAAGTGCACCCCTAGGATGCCCAGTAGTGCCCTTATTCCCTTTTTGGGGGGTTTAGGTTCCCTTATAAACCCAAAAAGGGTACCTTTTTTAAGCCTAGGTTACTGGGCAGCCGAGACCCCGAACCCCAAGGCAAACCTCAGCCCTCAGCCCTCAGCCCTCAGCCCTAAGCCTTGGTAGCCCCGTGGTACCCTCCACCCTTTTTTTGGTTAAGCTTTCCCTTCTAAAATAGCCAACTGAAAAAAGGGGTGCCCTTAGTACAATATGGTTACTGTGCTGCCAAGAAACCCTAATGTTCGCAACCCAGGATTGCGGATGCAGCCTGCAATGGACAACAACCGGCGGTTTACGGTATCGGTATTGGGGGTGGGCCTGGATTTTGGCAACCTACTTCTACACCCCCGCCCCGCTCCTTCCCTGTCCCCTACTACCTCGAAACTCCTACACCCAAACCCCTCAACCCCAAAACCCCAAACCCCAAAACCCCCAAACTCAAACCTTCAAACCCTCAACCCTCAACCCTCAACCCTCAACCCTAAGCCCTAAACCCTAAACCCTACCCTAAACCTTCAAGCCCTAAACCTATCAACCCAAGAACCATGTCCTTCCCAGCTTGAGGCCAATCCACTCCCCGGCCACTGCGGGGGCGGCGGCGGCGAGCCGCCGGTGGAGGGCTATGGAGACCGACTCTAGGGTTTAGGGTTTAGGGTTTAGGGTTTAGGGTTTAGGGTTTAGGGTTTAGGGTTTAGGGTTTAGGGTTTAGGGTTTAGGGTTTAGGGTTTAGGGCTTGTCGCCGCGCCGCGGCAGTGATTTCATGCGGAGGGCGCCCCAACACAGCTAGGGGGGTGTGAGGGGGCGGCATATGTCGCGGCGGCGTGTATTGAAGTTGGAGCCACCACAACCAGAAAGGTTGGGTTCTTTTATTTTTCCCACCCCCTGCTTACGCAGGCATCCACCCAACTTTTCTCCTTTTAGGGTTTCGGGCTAACGCCCTAAATTCCGACTTCCCATCCGAAAGCGGGAGGGGAGGGTGGGGAGGGGAGGGGGGGGGGGGGGTGGGATGGGAGGGGGGGGGGGGGGGAGGGGGGGGGGGGGGGGGGGGGAGGGGGGGAGGGGGGGGCGGGGGGGGGGGGGAGGGAGGGGAGGGGGGCCAGAGGGGGGGCCAGAAGGGGGGCCAGCAGCGGGGCCCGTCAGGGTCCAAAAAACCCAGGCTGACCTGCCTTGCGGCCCCTCTGGTCCCTGAACACGCTCCGTCAGGGGCCCGGCACCAGGGGGCTCCGGAGGGGGGCCCAGGGACCACCTGCAGAAGCCACTTCTGGTATTGTGGTCTAGCCAGGCGGGGTACTGCACCGGCACTGGAGGCCTAGAAGAGGGTGGGTACGGCCTAAGCAGGCCTGGGTGGGAATTTAGGGCTTAGTGTTTAGGGTTTAGGGTTTAGGGTTTAGGGTTACCGACTCTAGAGCTGGGTATTCAGGGTTTAGGATTGTAGGGTTTTAGGGCGTTAGGGTTTTTAGGGTTTCTAGGGTTTCTAGGGCTTCTAGGGTTTTAGGGTTTAAGGGTTTCAGGGTTTAGGGCTTTAGGGTTTTAGGGCTTTAGGGAATGGGATCACAGGCTAGGTTGATACGGGGACGCGGCGATGCGGACGTAGGCAAAGCTAATCCCTGCTGCTTGAGGGTTGTGCTTTTACTGTTGCTAAGCCCCAAACCTAAGACATGCCGGGTTGCTCGTGAAGGGTTTAGGGTTTAGGGTTTAGGGTTTGGGGTTTAATTAGGGTTTAGGGTTTAGGGTTTAGGGTTCAGGGTTTAGGGTTTAGGGTTTAGGGTTTAGGGGGTAAAGGAGCTAAACGTAAGGATATGTAGTCACAGGCTTGATGGTGGCGCCCATGCCCGGAACCCCCTACAAAACCCTAGACCTTAGCCCTTAAACTCTGAACCGCTGGCCCCCAACCCTAAGAATCGATAAGAGGGTTTAGGGTTTAGGGTTTAGGGTTTAGGGTTTAGGGTTTAGGGTAGAGTTTAGGGTTTAGGATTTTGGAGGGCGACAAAGCAGCGCCCTAGTCGATGCACTGATCGCTGCGTCTAGTTCGGACGTGGCGTTGGGTCGACCCTTTCTGTTCACAACCATAAACCCTAAACCCTACGCCCCATAATCCCTTCCCCCTAATACTAAAACCCCCCCCCCCCCCCCCCCCCCCCCCCCTAATTCTGAAATTCGTCTGGGCCCGAAAAATATTTAAAATTAGGGGGGGTCTAAATCCTAAAACCTGAATTCCGAAACCTAATAATGGCTCAACTCAAGAACTCAAGGGCGAAGGCCCTCAACCCCCCCCCCCCCCTAATTCTCAAACAGGTTTAGTATTGGGCTGGCTGCCGGGGGGGTCCGGGGAAAATAATATTTAAAATTAGGGGGGGTTTTAGTATTAGGGGGAAGGGATTACGCAGTTACAGTGAGCCTATATGCATAGCACCGAGGGCCCCCAAAAGGAACCAGTTAAAGGGCTCAGGTAGGGGGGATAAGGTCCCGAATTTCCGAATCTCATTCTCATTACGAACTACAGAGAGGCCCCCCTTAGATGTTGCTGCTGCTAGGGGACACGCCGAATAGTCATGACCCAAATTCCATTTGTGGGAAGAATATCCAAAAGACATTCTACAGAAGGCCCTCAGCCCCAAACCTTAAAACCCCAAAACCCAAAACCCTATAAACCCTATAAACCCAAACCCTGTATCCATACTAGCATTACAACCGGACCCTCTAGGGAAGTCAGATTGGTTGGGAGGCTGTGGCGTGACCACTGCCTTCATGGGATGAGTTCTCAACAGCATAGCCCCGTGCGGTAAGGACGGAAAAGGTCAGCATCTGCATCAGGTCAGGATTCAGGGCTTTTAGGGCTGAGGGTAGTTGAGGGTTTAGTGTTCAGGCTTTAATTAGGGTCAAAGCCTAAACCCTAAACCCTAAACCCTAAACCCTCCGAACTCCCTGAATGCCTCGGGCCGGCGCATCTGATGGTTCCGGCAGCTCAAGAAACTTCAGTTGGACCTTCATTCCCCCTTTTCTTGGGGTTCCCTTTGGTATTCCTAGATTACTCTTGGGTCTCGAATAAGTCGCTATGGTAGACCCGAAGCCCTAAACCCCACCCCTCAGCCCGAAGCCCTCAGCCCTAAGCCCTAAAACCCAAAACCCTAAACCCTAAACCCTAAACCCTAAACCCTAAACCCTAAACCCTAAACCCTAAACCCTAAACCCTAAACCCTAAACCCTAAACCCCACCCCTCACATCCTGAAGCACAGGTACATGCTGGACCTGGACCTGGAGTCTCCAGAGGGCACCAAGATCTCAGGGCCAAGAGCTTGGGGGGGCCTTGAGGGTTTGGGGGTCCACGGTTTAGGGTTTAGGGTTTAGGGGTTTAAGGTTCTAGGGTTTAGGGTGCGTGAAGCTTGACCTGGAAGCTTGCCAGAGATTACGAGTGGAGCAGACTGTATGCTCTCTGTACCCACAGTAGGCCCTTATTCCCTTTCATAGGGTTTAGGGTTGAGTTTATGGTCTAGGGCTAACTATAATGGCACCCAGGGTAGGCCCTTAAGATCTACCCTAGAATCCCTAGAACCTTCAGTCGGCTTTGGGAACGAAGGTTCAGGGCTTAGGGTTTAGGGTTTAGGGTTTGGGGTTTGGGGTTTAGGGTTTAGGGTTCACACTCATATCAACATATAGCATACTTGGAAGCCCTTTTGACTTAGCAAGTAGGGTTAGCAAGGTGAGTTATGGGGTGCGAAGAGGGTTTCAAGGGGATACTAAGTAGACTTTCTAAGTGAAAAGAGCTTCTAAGCAGGTTCCCGAATTCTGTCCAGCCTAATGGGAGCCCTTGGAGCCCTGACTCATGTGGGTTAGGGTTTAGGGTTTAGGGTTTGGGTTTAGGGTTTAGGGTTTAGGGTTCAGGGTTCAGGGTTTAGGGTTTAGGGTTTAGGGTTTAGGGTTTAGGGTTTAGGGTTTAGGGTTTAGGGTTTAGGGTTTAGGGTTTAGGGTTTAGGGTTTAGGGTTTAGGGTTTAGGGTTTAGGGTTTAGGGGTGCAAAAGACTGGAGATCTTGGTGGATGACAACCAGGAGATCTGCCAGGAGGCCTCGAAGATGGGCATGGAGCTGCAACCGATCACGACCAAGCACATGAGGCACGTCAAACCCTAAACCCTAAACCCCAAACCCTAAACCCTAAACCCTAAACCCTAAACCCTAAACCCTTGTGCACCGGGACGAAGTACACCGACCTTAGGGCCGCTTATGTGATCCCTGCCCGAACAGTCGGAAAGCCCTGAGGGTGCTCTTGACCCCTAGGCCAGCAGAAAACCCTCCTTGGAGGTTTAGGGTTTAGGGTTTAGGGTTTAGGGTTTAGGGTTTAGGGTTTAGGGTTTAGGGTTGGTTCAGGGCACAAAAAACCAAAATCAACTGTACAAATAAGCCCCCGAAGTCCCCCAAACAGGTAATAAGTAGACTTATCACTGGGGTGATAAGTACCCATGAACCTCCAAGCATACCGTGGTCTGGTTGTTTCAACCGGGAATTGCTTTTACAGGTGCGCAGCACCAAAATTCTCATGATAGGACAACCCCTAACCTAGTGGCCAGATCCTGAAGAGCCCCGTAGCCCCGGCAAGTTTCACCTTCCAGGTGGGGAGCCCCCAAACCCACCCTCAGCTTCAACCCTATAACCCTAGAAACCCTATAAACCCCATAAACCCTATAAAGCCCCACATCAACCCCAGGAACCCTATACAACCGAGGTTCGTCGTGCTGGACGGGCACTCTGGCAGCCTCTGTCTGGAGCTCAGTGCCCGATACCTCAAGAACGCACATGGGGGTTTCCCAAAATAGGGGGGGGGGGGGGTTACCCTTTTTGGGGTTCCTAGAATAAGGATTAGAGTATTTTGGGGTGTATTCGGGGTAACCTGGTACCCTGATTTTCACTAAAACAACAACGATGTGGGAGTTTACGAAAATTTGGTAAACTCCCACATCGGTGTTGTTTACTAGGTCGCTTCTGAATCCTTTATATAAGAGATCTATATGACAATAACCTGCACAGAGAGTAGGTTTTGAGGTCTTCAGGCAAGGCTCTAAGGATTCTGAGATGGGCTTTAGTTTAGGGCTTTTGGTTTCTGCTGCCAGGACTTTCAATTACGAGCTCTAGGGCACCGGGCTAGTACTTCAGCCCTGACAGGGTTCAAGGACTCTTCAGGGAGTACCCAACACCCAAGACCCAATTCCTAAAACCCTAAACCCTAAAATCCTAAGCCCGAAACCCCTAAAACCCTAAACCCCTTTGTGCTGTTCTTCGTCTCCAGGTTGCGACCATGTGCTGGAGCGGCTTCCGGGGAATCTGCAGACACGTGGCTGCGAGTTCTGGGACGTGGGGTTTAGACTGAGGGTTACGGGGGGGGGGGGGGGGTTTTTGGCGGGTTGCACAACCAGCCAGGAAGACTCAAATTTGCTCAGCAACGATTTCGGTGCGGATTCTAAATTCGTACCCGAGCCAAGACATCTTGAAATCGAGTCGGTGGCTTCCATTGGGGGGTAGTCTGGGTTGAGTTCTCTGAGAATAGAAAGCGCAAGGAAAAGCAGCGGCGGGTTCCCTTAAAAATCCAACCTCTTAAGGGCTATTTTGCCTATGCAAACCCCTAAACCCTAAACCCTAAGCCCTAAGCCCTAAACCCTACCTTTTCGTCCTATGCAAACGCCTGAGTCACCCTTCAAACTTCATGGGTCAAGCAGCAGGTCGAGGGCATCTTGCGCAGGCCCTACCCAGACCCCTGGGAGGCTTAGGTTTTAGGGTTTATAGGGTTTAGGGTTTTGGGTTTAGGGTTTCGGGTTTAGGGTGTGGGTTTAGGGTTTCGGGTTTAGGTTTAGGGTTTTGGGTTTTGGGTTTGGGTTTAGGGTTTCGGGTTTAGGGTTAGGGTTTAGGGGTTTAGGGTTCAGGGTGGGTATGTAACCTAAGGTTCACAAATACTCCCTACTACTCCCTAAGGCTCCCGAAGGTTCCCTAAAATTCCCTAAACTTCCCTAAGGTTCCCTAAGGTTCCCTAAGGTTCCCTAAGGTTCCCTAAGGTTCCCTACCCCCCCTGAACCCCCCTCCCTTAAGAACCTGACAAGTACTATTTGGGAGCTCGAGTTTTTGGATCATCCCATGAGGTCTGGGCAAAGCCTAAACCTTAACCCCGAAACCCGCCAAAGCCTTAAACACACACATATTATGGGCATTTCGCAAAATAGGGGTACATCTTTTGTACCCCAAATAGAATAGAATCCCTACAAAAAGGGGACCCCCAAAAAGGGCATCCCCCATTATCGGAATCCCCACATCCCCCTTCGCGAGGAAGTGCCTCAGCACAAAGCCTGGCCTTTCGGAGGAGACGCTGTCACAGGTCCAGCCAGCCAGATTGTGGTGTGTTAAAGGTTTAGGGTTTATGGTTTAGCGTTTAGGGTTGAGGGTTCCCGTACTACCCCTGACGACCCCGTACTACCCCCTGCCCTACGACCCCCCAAATACCCCCCTACGACCCCGCTTCCTTCAAGGGCTCACGTACTTCACTGCGTCAATCTGCGCCACACCATGAGTGTGGGAACAACATTGTGAAACAAACCCTAAATCCTAAATCCCTAAGCCTTCGAGATCTTAGAAGTCCTCCTGGACCCCCCAAGTACTCCTTAAGAAGGGCCAACGTGAACCTTGGTGGGGGTATTTCCCTAAGGATCCATGTGCCCTAAGAATAGTATGCACTTGGGCCTTAAAGGGTTTCCTGTATAGTAGCTTTAGGGCCCAAGTATATACTATAGGTCCACACTCCAAACCCCGAACCCTAAGCGCTAGACCCTCAACCCTAGAAACCCTAAGCTCTCACCAAGCCTTTCCTGGGACTCTATTTACCTACACTCTGGGAGTTAATACCCTATAAATAAGCAGGTATAGCCCACAGAGCTGTAGGTAAAGATGGTCCCAGGCAAAGTGCCCTAAGCCCTAAGCCCTAAACCCTAAACCCTAAACCCTAAACCCTAAGCCCCGACAAAACGATGCCCATCGCGGCTTTGAGCCTCGAGCTGCACTCAGCCAACCTCCGTGGGCCTCTCGCGCCCTCATTGAAGACAGACTCAGACGTCGAGGCCTCAGACAGTTTAGGGTGTAGGGTGTAGAGTTCAGGGTTTAGGGTTTATAAGGTTTCAGTGTTCAGGGTGGTTTGGGTTTTCTTAGGTATCTTCCTCCGAGCCCCTGAGCCTTCAATTTCTAAACAAGCCCCGTTGTTCAACTGGCCAATCCGAATGTAGACCTTCTTGTCTAATTACAATGGCTTTCTCTCGGGCAACTTGAGAAACACGAGCAAGTTGTTCTCATGCCGATATAGGTCAGCCATGACCGCCGAGCCGACGATGGCCGCCAAGTGCACGGCGGAGTTCGTGGGCACCTTTCTGCTGATCTTCACTGTGGGCTGCAACGTGCTGGGCGGTTCGGCCACCTGGGCCGGCGTCTCCATCGCCTTCGTGCTGATGGTGTGCATCTATTCACTGGGTGGCATCTCGGGCGCCAACTTCAACCCGGCCGTGTCGGTGACCCTGGGCATCTCCCGTGCCATGGGTGGTCCCGGCCTGGACTGGAAGACCGTGGGAATCTACGCGGGCGTGCAGACCGCCGCTGGCATCGCGGCCGCCGTCTGCTACTCCTTGCTCTTCGGGCAGAGCTTCAACTTGGCGCCCGCCAAGGGCTTCTCCTGGTACCACGCCGGCCTCTGTGAGCTTCTCTACACCTTCATGCTGACCTTCGTGGTCATGAACGTGGCTGCCGCCAAGAAGAACGTGGCGGAGAAGAACCAGTACTACGGCATGGCCATCGCCTTCACCGTGGTGGCAGGTGCCTATGGCGCCGGCGCCGTGTCCGGTGGCTGTTTCAACCCCGCGGTGGCTCTGGGCATCGACGTGTCCAGCGCTGGCCGCGGCTTCGGCTGGTCCATCGCCTACGTCGTCTTCGAGCTGCTGGGTGCCGCCATGGCCGCCGCCCTCTTCAAGGTGGTGCGCCCCGAGGACTTCGGCGGGGAGAAGAGCCAGGTCACCGAGCTGGTGAGCGAGTTCCTGGGCACCTACATGCTGGTCCTGACCGTCGGCCTCAACGTCCTTGGCAGCTCCAAAGCCGCCGCCTTCTCCATCGCCGCCGGCCTCACCTCCATGATCTACGCGCTGGGCGACGTCTCTGGTGCCCACTTCAACCCCGCGGTCACCGTGGCCATCCTTGCCTCGGGCCGCTGCCCTGAGCTCACACCCGCCAAGGCCGGCACCTACACGGGCGTGCAGGTCGCGGGCGGCATCGCGGCGGCGCTGACCTACGCCTTCATCTACCAGGGCGCCACCTTCGGCCTTGGACCCGTCGGCTCGAGCACCTGGGCAGGCGTGTCCGTGGCGGAGATCGTCTACACCTTCGTGCTCTGCTTCGTGGTGCTCTGCGTGGCCGTGTCCGACCGCACCAAGGCCTCCCACCTCTTCGGCCTCGCCATCGGCTCCTGCGTCACCGTCGGCGGCTTCGCCATCGGCGGCATCTCCGGCGGATCCCTCAACCCCGCCGTGTCGCCCCTTGGTCCATCCTTCAGTGTATGTAGGTTTATGTGCGGCCCTGTGTTGGGGGTTACAAAGCTGTAAGTACTGTCATTAAGCATCGTACGGTGGCGTCGGAGGCCTAAATTAGATCTAGAATGTCAAAGACGTAGCCCCGCATTTGGGTTCTTAGAACCCTCTACTTGTAACTTGGGGGGCCCCTCCCTGTACCCTATAAGGGTCCAGGTACCTCGTGAATAATATACCTGCACCCCAAAGTCCTTTTATAGGAAGTACTTTAAGGCCTAAGCATTAACCCTATTTAACCCTAAACCCTACACCCTTAACCCCTAACCCTAAACCCCAAACCGCAAACCTTAGGGGTAGGGCTTGCAAGAGCTGAGGTTCGGCATTGCCACCTCCCACGTGTTGAACGGCGGACGCTTCTACCAGGTCGTCTTAGAGTGTTGCGTGTGCTTGCACCAAACCCCGGGCCTCAAACACCTGTGGTTTAGGGTTTAGGGTTTAGGGCTTAGGGCTTAGGGTTTAGGGTTTAGGGTTTAGGGTTTGCGGTGTGGTTTAGGGTTTATCCTAGGGTTTTCAGGGTTCTTGGGTTTAGTGTTTATAGGGTTTAGGGTTTAGGGTTTAGGGTTTAGGGTTTAGGGTTTAGGGTTCAGGGTTTAGGGTTTAGGGTTTAGGGTTTAGAGGCTCTTCTGTACACCCTCCTGGAGCTCGCTGGCGCAACGGCGGCTGCTGGCGTCTTCAAGGTGACACACGAGGCAGGGCAGCGCAACCCTAAACCCTAAACCCTAAACCCCTTTCATACGTTGAGTTTGTGCAGCAACTACTGAGCCCTTTGACAACCCTTTCCTGGCCAGGACACAATCGAAAGTCAGAGACCCCAAACCCTAAACCCTAAACCCTAAACCCTAAACCCTAAACCTAGGGGATAGGATTGGGGGGACCCTTGGGGATACAGACCCTCTGAATAAGGTCCCTGTTTAAGGGAGCCAGAAGAGGGTTAAGAAGGGGTTCCCTTTTAAGGGTCCCCCTTATCCTACCTAGGAAAACCCTGAACCCCAAACCCCTAAACCCTAAACCCTAAACCCTGAACCCTGAACCCTAAACCCTAAGTCAACCCCGAAGCTCTGCAGGTGGAGATGGAGCCCCTGGCTGGCAAGGCCGAGAAAGACGAGGCATGAGAGGCCTGGGCACATGACTAACTGCGGCAGTTGTTTCGCATATGGTTTAGGGTTTAGGGTGTAGGGTTTAGGGTTTAGGGTTTAGGGTTTAGGGTTTAGGGTTTAGGGTTCAGCGTTTAGGTTTTAGGGTTTATGGTTCAGGGTTCAGGGTTCAGGGTTTTCGGGGTTCAGGGTTCAGGGTTCAGGGTTCAGGGTTCAGGGGTTTAGGGTGCGAGTTTTTCCACTGTGCCAATTTTGAGTTTTTCCACTGTGCCATTTTTCCACGTTGCCAACGAAGAACTCGCTTTTCCCCACGAAGGTTTCACCTTTGTCCACGAAAAATATGTTTTGCAGTTTTCGTTCGCCTTTGCCCACAGAAACTGGCCTTGCCCACGAAGGACAATCGGGGTTTAAATCATTTGGATGCACATGTTAAGAGAGGTTTAGGGATTAGAGTTTGGAGCTTAGTGTTGATCGTAAGGAAGAAACCTACAACGCTCTTGTATGTTCAGCCCTTCCGAGGGTTCATTTTTCGAATGCAGATTGCGCTCAGGCATAAACATAATCCTAAGCGCTCACCCCCCGCATCCCTAAACCCTAAACCCTAGGCCCTATTCCAAGAAGAACTTCCTACCTGCAAAGCCTGTCGATGCCGGAAAGCCTTGAAGCACCTTCATCAGAACTGTGGGGCAGGTACCTTAAGGAAGCTTAGGGAGCCTTAGGGAGTAGTAGGGAGTATTATGAGAGAACCTTGGGTTGTATACCCCCCTTTTGAACCTCCCCTCCGGGAAGAACCCTACAAGGTCCTATTTTAAACTGTTGAGACCCCTAGTAGCGATCGCGCCCTCCGCCTCAGGGCGGCACGCGCAGGGCTGTGGCAGCGGACACTGACTGCCAGAGAGCTCTGCACGCGCATCGGAGGACGAAAAGAGTTTGGGTTCAGGGTTGAGCCTCAAACAAAAATAACTAAGATAGTCTTAGTATAGGAACCCAAACAAAGGGCTTGTTTTAGGACCCCCCCCCCCCTTTTCGCCATTTGGTGGGTGGGGGTGGGTGGGGTGAGGGGTGGGGAGAGACCTTGAAGTGCAATAGATTTTTCCTGAAGGACGATATAAAGTAAGCAATCTCGAAACAGATGGTCTTTTCTATGGCTAGTATAATATAGTTGTGCCATTTCAGGCTCACGGCAGAATCCCCGGCTGTTTCCGAACCCTCGTCGACATGTTCTTTCCACAGAGCTCAGACTTTTTGTTGCCATTCCTCGATGGAGTTTCGATGATTTGGGGTTAGAGTTTACGGTTTGGGTTTAGGGTTTAGGGTTTAGGGTTTAGGGTTTAGGGTTTAGGGTTTAGGGTGGCAGCCACCCAGCTCAAAAGCTCTGAGCCTCTTTCAGTTTCATTGAAGCTCCCGGCCTTGTCGGGACCTGAGCTGGAGTCGGAGGGGGGGGGGGGAGTGCGGGGCGCGGGTGCGTACGTCTCGACCTTGCCTGGCACCTGTTGAAAAATGCGGCTGTGCATGCTCTGTGGCTCTTTCAGTCATCTCTTTCTCTCTTTGTCTCTCTCTCTCTCTCTGTCTATCTCTCTCTCTCTGCCTGTCTGTCTGTCTGTCTCTGTCTGTCTCTGTCTGTCTCTGTCTGTCTGTGTCTGTGTCTGTGTCTGTCTCTGTCTCTGTCTCTGTCTCTGTCTCTGTCTCTGTCTCTGTCTCTGTCTCTGTCTCTGTCTCTGTCTCTGTCTCTGTCTCTGTCTCTCTGTCTGTCTCTCTGTCTCTTTGTCTCTTTGTCTCTCTATCTCTCTGTCTCTCTGTCTCTGTCTCTCTCTCTCTCTCTTTACTCTTTCGCTCTACAACTAATATGTATATAATTGTTTACATTTTTTCGACAGACAGATGCAGAGAGAAAGTATACGACCCAGGCAGCCATGACCGCCGAGCCGACGATGGCCGCCAAGTGCACGGCGGAGTTCGTGGGCACCTTCCTGCTGATCTTCACGGTGGGCTGCAACGTGCTGGGTGGTTCGGCCACGTGGGCCGGCGTTTCCATCGCCTTCGTTCTGATGGTGTGCATCTACTCGCTGGGTGGCATCTCAGGCGCCAACTTCAACCCGGCCGTGTCGGTGACCCTGGGCATCTCCCGTGCCATGGGTGGTCCCGGCCTGGACTGGAAGACCGTGGGAATCTACGCGGGCGTGCAGACCGCCGCGGGCATCGCGGCCGCCGTCTGCTACTCCTTGCTCTTCGGGCAGAGCTTCAACTTGGCGCCCGCCAAGGGCTTCTCCTGGTACCACGCCGGCCTCTGTGAGCTTCTCTACACCTTCATGCTGACCTTCGTGGTCATGAACGTGGCTGCCGCCAAGAAGAACGTGGCGGAGAAGAACCAGTACTACGGCATGGCCATCGCCTTCACCGTGGTGGCAGGTGCCTATGGCGCCGGCGCCGTGTCCGGTGGCTGTTTCAACCCCGCGGTGGCTCTGGGCATCGACGTGTCCAGCGCTGGCCGCGGCTTCGGCTGGTCCATCGCCTACGTCGTCTTCGAGCTGCTGGGTGCCGCCATGGCCGCCGCCCTCTTCAAGGTGGTGCGCCCCGAGGACTTCGGCGGGGAGAAGAGCCAGGTCACGGAGCTGGTGAGCGAGTTCCTGGGCACCTACATGCTGGTCCTGACAGTCGGCCTAAACGTCCTGGGCAGCTCCAAAGCCGCCGCCTTCTCCATCGCCGCCGGCCTCACCTCCATGATCTACGCGCTGGGCGACGTCTCTGGTGCCCACTTCAACCCCGCGGTCACCGTGGCAATCCTTGCCTCGGGCCGCTGCCCTGAGCTCACGCCCGCCAAAGCCGGCACCTACGCGGGCGTGCAGGTCGCGGGCGGCATTGCGGCGGCGCTGACCTACGCCTTCATCTACCAAGGCGCCACCTTCGGCCTTGGACCCGTGGGTTCGAGCACATGGGCAGGCGTGTCCGTGGCGGAGATCGTCTACACCTTCGTGCTCTGCTTCGTGGTGCTCTGCGTGGCCGTGTCCGACCGCACCAAGGCCTCCCACCTCTTCGGCCTCGCCATCGGCTCCTGCGTCACCGTCGGCGGCTTCGCCATCGGCGGCATCTCCGGCGGATCCCTCAACCCCGCCGTGTCGCCCCTTGGTATATGGGGCAGGGTGAATCTGTGTTCTGTTCTTGCCGAACGTATTATATAGCCAACGCTTGTAACCGTTTACGATGTATGTATGTATATATATATATATAGCACTAGCGTGTGAGAGAGAGAGAGAGAGTGAGAGAGAGGGAAAGTCTCTGCAGGTCATGTCAGTCTCCCAGTATCTTGTCGCGTTCCCCCGAAGTCGCACTGCTCCGAACCCCAAACCCCTTTCGAGACTAACGTGCTGCTTTGCTTTGTGTTGCCATGGGCCGCCTGCCATTGGAACTTTCCTGACTCTTTGCCGTACAAGTACATTGGAGCTATCGCAGTTTTTCCAGGTAGAGCATTTATGCCCGCTGGATAGTCGTCTCTTGCTGCAGTTGCCAGCAAAAGTCCAAAACCCTAAACCCTAAACCTTAAACCCTAAACCCTAAACCCTAAACCCTATACCCTGAGATGTCTAAAACCTGATTCATGAAGCCCACAGCCCTTAAGCTGAATCACCTTGAACCTCCTAGGTTCGGCATTGCTGCGGCCAACATTCTGAACGGTGGCTTCTTCTTCAAGGCGGTCACCCTAAACCCTAAACCCTAAACCCTAAACCCTGAACCCTGAACCCTAAACCCTAAACCCTAAACCCCATCATTTGGCATAGCAGGCGTTAAGGTTTTAGTGTGAGGGGTTTCGGGCTGCATTGCCCGAAACTTCCAGTGATCTATGAAACCAGCGAGGGCCACTAGGACCCGTACGGGCACAATGATTATCTTCCCCAACACTAAAACCTTCAGCTTAAAACTCCTGAAACCTTGAACCCTGAAACCCTAACAACACAAGACCCTAAACTAGAACTCCGCAAACCCTTTCTTTCTGTTGAGATTGTTGCCTGCCAGGCATTTCAGCGTCCTCCTGTGACCCTCAACCCCGAACCTTAAAAGCCCCCCGCAATGGTCTAGTAAGGCTTTCCTATCGTCAAGTGTCCTTTGGGTTTCCGTCTTTGGATTCTTGGATGCCGGTCTTCGAAGTTGCCGCGTGACATGCAACAGCGCCGTCAGTCATCTTTCTTATAGTCCTAAGTAGAGTTACGAGGGCCCTGATTGTGCTGTCAGTAGATGACTTTGGTTGCAAGTTCCCCACAAGTAGCCCCCCCCCCCCCCCCCCCCCGAAATGTAGTTTGGGGATTTATAGCCGGATAGTATTACTGAAGAAAGCCCTTACAACCACACTTGGACCTTGGAGGGCTTCTTTAACGGTCTAGGGTTGAGGGTTTAGGGCTACTTGTCGATGATAAGTTCCCGAAGTAGTTATCCGCCCGCCTTTGCTTGCCTAACAACGTGAAAACCCACTCGTACAGGCCGGTGTGTCGGGCTTAGGATTTAGGCTTACGGGCCGCAAAGTGGGGTTTAGGGTTTAGGGTTTAGGGTTTAGGGTTTAGGGTTTAGGGTTTAGGGTTTAGGGTTTAGGGTTGCAAGCATGATAACTTATGATGTAAGCCCTACACCCCAAACCATAAACCGCAGTTTGTATCGCAAAGGCAACCCCTCCATCCTACTTTGACGACCGACATCGCCCCCGAACTTAGGTTCGATTTTAAGGTTGAGGGTTTGGGGGGTTAGGTCCGGGTGTAGGTCTTGACGTTGGGAACCCTAACTTCAAACCCTAAACCCTAAACCCTCAAGCCTAAACCCTAAACCCTAAACCCTAAACCCCAAACCCCAAACCCCAAACCCCAAACCCCAAACCCCAAACCCCAAACCCCAAACCCCAAACCCCAAACCCCAAACCCCAAACCCCAAACCCTAAACCCTAAACCCTAAACCCTAACCCTAAACCCTAAACCCAACCTTGAGGCTCTGATCTACTCTGCTCTGGAGCTGGTCGGTGCCGCTGCCGCGGCTGGCGTCTTCATGGTGACGCATGAGGCAGGGTTTAGGGCTTAGGGCTTAGGGTTTAGGGTTTAGGGTTTCGGGTTGAGGGTGCAGGGTTGGGGGTTTAGGGTTTTAGGGGTTTAGGGATACTAGGAGAGAAGCTGAGACGGAGTCCCTCATCCTACTGTCCTTTCTTTGAAACCCCGGAGCAATCTGCGTGTATATGCTATATGTATATACTTAGAGTTTAGGTTTTAGGGTTTGGGGTTTGGGGTTTAGGGTTTAGGGTTTAGGGTTATACACACAAGCAGCTCCAAGAAAGTCCCCATACAACCACGAAAGTCCCTTATCCTGTGGTTTCTGACTTTGAGGTTTGGGATTTGGGTTTCCGGTTTATCGGGTTTGGGGTTTAGGGTTCGGAGTTGAGGGGTTGAGTTAGGGTGCTTACAACGCCTCTATTCGGGATGAAGGGCAGCCGGGCGTACTTCAAAAGCCCTGAACGGTTGAGCCTTGAGCATTCGGTCCAAAACCCTGAGAAGCCCCAAACACCCTCAACCCTAAACCCTAAACCCTAAACCCTAAACCCTAGACCCACACCGTAAACCCTTATCAGGGCCATGTCCCCTTGTCACGTGCTTACATAATCCAGGAACGCTCTGCGGGCTCTCAGTCCTGAAACCCCCTAAGTCCTGAGCCCTAGGCCTGAGCCCCGAGTCCTTAGCCTAACTTGCCATAAGAGGTGGAGACCGCCTTGACCGAGAAGAAGGAGGTGGACGCCTGAGCTTCGCAAGGCCAGTGGAGGGCTTCAGGGGGTGCTTAGGGCTTAGGGCTAAAGGGGGCACTACTTTGCTAAGGAAACCCTAAGGGTCCATGTACCCTCGTTATTACAAACTTGGGCCCCCCCCAGGGAGCCCGTTAAGGCCTAAGTATTCCTATCAGACACCTTCGGACCCTTATGACCCCAGCTCCTACATGAAGGTTTAGGGTTTCGGGTTTCGGGTTTAGGGTTTAGGGTTTGCGGCTTAGGGTTTGGGTGTGCTTAAGATTGAAATGGCTTGGGGGTGTTCATCCTGGCTTAGGGGTGTACGGGGTGTAGGGTTTCAGGTTTTCGGGCTTTAGGGCCTTAGGGCTTCACCAAACCTTAAACCCTAAACCCTGAGCCCTAGGTTTTCTGATCACCTGGGGAGGTTATGTAGTAGTAGTAGTAGTAGTAGTAGTAGTAGTAGTAGTAGTAGTAGTAGTAGTAGTAGTAGTAGTAGTAGTAGTAGTAGTAGTAGTACTACCTGAACCCTACAACCCTAAACCCTAATCTAAATCCCTAAGCCCTGAACCCTAAACGTCTAACCCCCTCAAACACACAAAAACCCGTTACACCATCCTACGAACCTTGGCCACTGGCCTCCAAACCCTGCAACTTTCTTAGGCCTCAACCCTCAACCCAAAACCCTAAACCCTACCGACCCTATAATCCTCAGCGCTTCTATAGTTGTAGATCCCCCGAAAGGCTACTCTATACCCATTAGCCCGCAACTTTCAGCCCCTCACCCAGCCCAAGGCCCCTAAGCCCTACACGCTGAAGCCCTTTGACTGAGCGTTTCGTCACCAAATGAGATCCTAAACCCTATAAACCCCAAACCCTAAACCCCAATCCTAAACCCTAAACCCTCAATTGGCGCATGCAGGTCATCCTTCTGTGCACAGCAGCTTCCGGGAGCACCCTGGGGTTCGGTTCAGGGTTTAGGGTTTGGGGTTTAGGGTTTAGGGCTAGGATTCAGGGCCCTGGACCACCGGAACCGACTGGTTTACGGTCAAAGCTTCAGGGAGTGTCTTCCGAAACCCGGAGAATGAGCGGGGAGATGAGAGCTGTGCAAAGGAAGGAAAAGTGCTCAGATCATGGTTTAGGGTTTAGGGTTTAGGGTTTGGGGTTTGGGGTTTAGGGTTTTTAGGGTCTGCCGTCCTAAGCCCTAAACCCGACAGGTTGAGGGCGAAAGCCACGATTTTTTTAAGAATGTAACTAGGCATGCAGATAGGAAGTATCGATATGACAACATCTGCACTGCACTTATGATGTATGTATACTGTATATGCGCATGTTTTTGTACAAAGGTTGTTCATCAAGAAGATCTTTACATACAATGTTAGCTATGTGTGTATATGTATTAAGTTCTATAAACACACACACAAATACACACACACACACACACACACACGGGTGTTTCATCAATCAGATCTATACAAAAAATGATAGCAATGTGTGTTTATGTATTAAGTTCTATAGACACACACACACACATATATATATATATATACATATATTATAATACTATATATATATATATTGTATATATATATATATACGTATGTGTGTACATGTGCGCGCGTGTACATATGCACAACTGATGAGCTAAATATTCCCTACAGTCATCGGCGCAAGAAACTCTGGGACGAAGCCAAAGCCACGAGCTCTAAGCAAGATCTGACATCGCAAGGGGATGTATACGAGGCCCTACGCCCACAGCCCAAACCCCGACGCCCAGACGCGAAACAGTCCAAAGCCCACGACACCACAAACCCAGGGTGTATGGTGTTGGATTTCGAGTTTAGTCTCTTGAAGTTTGAGCCTTCAAGGAAGCATCCCCCCCCCCAAAAAAAAATATATATAATACAACCACCTACAGGATGAAAGGACATGCCCTAACTTAAACCCTGATACCCTAGTACCCTCATACCCTCAGAACCTCATACCCTCATACCATCATACCCTCATACCCTCATACCCTTATACCCTTATACCCTAAACCCTGAAACAAGGTCGAGTTCTGCCAGTTCGCTCCGTGGTCTTTTTCTGTGCGAGAGGCTTCCCCACCTCCCCCAAGCCCCCGATGTCCTGATCATTTGTCAAACCCTAAACCCTAAACCCTAAACCCTGACCCCTAAACTGCCCCAACCCTAAACCCTAAAAGCCTAAACCCTAAGCCCTCAACACAAACACCAAGCCTCTGAGGCCTTGAAATGATGCCTTGAAAGGATCTTCGCGCTTAGGTGTTTAGGGTAGGTAAGAACGATATTTAGGGCCATGTTTTGCGTTTTGTTAGCGTATCTACCTTACCCTAGGTAAGCCCAACTCAAACACCTGGTCATTCGTTCGTGCGCGCGGCCTCCGTGGCGGCCGATGTCGAGGCAGGCTGTTGGTTGCAAGTGCGGCTGGTGAGATAAACCCTAAACCCTAAACCCTAAACCCTAAACCCTAAACCCTAAACCCTAAACCCTAAACCCTAAACCCTAAACCCTAAACCCCAACCGGTAACCCCAAACCCTAAACCCCAAACCCCAAACCAAGCCTTGATGGCTTCAACCTGGTCTCTTGTGTTTGAACCCTAAACCCTCAACCCTCTTCATGTAAGGGGGTTGTCAAGATTATAATCCTCTTTGGGGTACCCTAAATTTTAGGTGCCGTATTATGATCGGGATCCAAAAAGGGACCATAATTTTGGCCACCACCCAGTAGCAAGCTCACGGCCTCCAGGAGGAACAATCTTACATCCACAACGACACAAGCCCTGAGCCACATGTCTTCGATAACCTCTGAACCTTCGCCCCTGAGCCCGGTGACCCTAAACCCTAGACCCTAAACCCTAAACCCTAAACCCTAAAACCCTAAACCCTAAACCCTGAACCCTAAGCCCTAAACCCTGAACCCTAAGCCCTAAACCCAACGAAGCAATCCCTGGTCCCTATATCTTAGATGACGTGCTCGACTCAAAGACCCTGAGGTTCAGGATTTAGGCGTATCAATGTCCTATGAACCTTTCAGAGACGCAGGGGTTTAGGGTTTAGGGTTTAGGGTTTAGGGTTTAGGGTTTAGGGTTTAGGGTTTAGGGTTTAGGGTTTACTTGTACCCCTAAGCTGGCCCTAAGCCTGAACCGTAGACACCTTAAACCCTACGGGTTTGGAGTCGCTGTAGGCTTTAACCCCGGAAGGTTTGGGTTGATGGGAAAAGCTAAACGCCATCAGCCCTAAACCTGAAACCCAAAACTTAACCACGTTCCCAGCCCCACACCCTAAACCCTGAATTTTCAGGGCAACCCTAGACCCGGGGCCTAAAGCCTAAACCCTATACCCTAAACCCCCGGTCAGGGTGCGATCCATCTTTCAGCGGGACTCGAAGTTAGTGACAGCCCTTTGCGTGGCGTATCTTGGCCGAGTGGTGTCCCTGAGCCCTACAGCCTGAGCCGGTTGAGGGTTGGGGGGTTGTTTTCATCTCGAGGGGTGTTGAGGTCAAGGTTCAGGGTGCACAGGGTTCATTCCAGGGATAAAAAAACGAATAAAAGTAACAACACAACAAAATATATATATATATATATATATGTATATATATATATATGTATATATATATATATATGTATATGAGCATCGGACGAAACCTCTGGAAGAGGTAGCCATGATTAGAGGAGTCACATGGAATTTTACAAGCCTGCTCTGGCACGAGAACCCATAGGGGCCGACCCTAAACCGATACCCAACTTCTATAGACAATTCCCACATATCCGATAGGGGGCCGACCCTATTCCACGCAACCGTCGGGACACACTAGAGGTTTCGACCGCTTCTCATATATATATATATATATACATATATATATATATATGCTCGCCCCCCCCCCCCCCCCCTCCCATGATCCACACATTTGGCCTCGGGAAGGCTGGTTTTGGGAGGGGCGGGACTCCAGACTCCAGATTTCCAGAAAAAATCTGGAGTACCCCCAGACTCCAGACTCCAGATTTCCAAAAAATATGGAGTACCTCCAGACTCCAGATTTCCAGATAAAATCTGGAGTATCTCCAGACTCCAGATTTCCAGGAAAAAATCTGGAGTACCGGGACCCTGGACTCCAGATTCTGGAGTCTGTAATCTGGAGTCTGGGGCCCCGGGTACTCCAGATTTTTTCTGGAAATCTGGAGTCTGGAGTCCGGGGCCCCGGTACTCCAGATTTTTTCTGGAAATCTGGAGTCTGGAGTCCGCGGCCGCGGTGGAAATCTGGAGTCTGGAGTCCGGGGCCCGGGTGCATATGGAGTCCGGGGCCCATGTTCTCCACATGCACGTTTAGGGATTGCGGTTTAGTGTTTATTGTTCAGGGTTTGTAGGGTTTAGTGTGTGTTTAGGGTTCAGTGTTTAGTGTTTAGGGTCTAGTGTTTAGGTTTTGGTTTTAAAGGTTTAGGGTTTACTTTTTAGGGTTTAGGTTTAAGCGACTTGGATAATGTCTAAAACCCTAAACCTGATAATGATGAAGATTTAAAACCCCTAAAGGACTGCAACCCCATGTTTTTTTGGCTTGGGGTTGGTTTAGGGTTCAGGATGTGTTGTTTCGGGTTTAGGGTTTAGTGTGCAGTGTTTAGGGTATAGTGTGTAGGTTTCAGAGTTTAGTTTTTTTGTGTTTAGGGTTGAGTGTTAAGTTTAGGGTCTAGAGTTTAGGTTTAGGGTTTAGGGTCAAGCGACTTGGCTAAAACCCTAAACCAAATAAAACCCTAAACTCTAAAATCCAAACAGTAAGCATCTGAAACCCCGAGGGGTTTTTGGTTTCAGGTTTAGATTTAGTAGGGCTTGAGGTTCCGGCTTCGGGGTTTACTGTTTAGTGTTTAGGGTTTAGTGTGTAGGGCTTAGTGTGTAATGCTTAGGGTCTAGTGTTTAGGGTGCAGCGTTTAAATGTTTAGGGTTTAGTGCTTAAGCGTTTAGGTCTACGTGTTAAGTGTTTGGGGTTTGTGCTAAGGGCTTAGTGTTCAGTTTTTAGGGTTAGTGTTTAGGGTCTAGTGCTGAGTGTTTAGGGTTTAGTGCGAAGGGTTTCGGGTTTGGGTCTTAGGGTTAAGGGTTTTAAGGGTTTTAAGGATTTTTACAAATTCAAATGATCTGGGGAAGGCACCAGGGCTTCCCCAGACCATTGCCAACTTTAAAAACCCTGCCGTTTAGGCTTTAGGGTTTAGTGTTCAGGGTTTAGTGTGTAGGGTTTTTGTGTGTAATGTTTAGGGTTTAGTTTTTAGGGTGTAGTGTTTAAGTTTTTAGGGTCTAGTGTATGGGGTTTAGTGCCTAAGCGTTTAGGGTTTCGTGTTAAGTGCTTGGGGTTTGTGCTAAGGGCTCTTAGTGTTAAGTTTTAGGGTTAGTGTTTAGGGTCTGGTGCTGAATGTTTAGGGTTTAGTGTTAAGGGTTTCGGGTTTGGTTTTTAGGATTAAGGGTTTCAAGGATTTTTAGAATTTTAAATGATCTGGGGAAGGCACCGGGGCCCCCCAGACCATCTTTCTAAAACTTTTAGAAATTTAAATGGTCTGGGGAAGGCACCGGGGCTTCCCCAGACCATCTTAAAATCTTATCAAAATCCTTGAAATTCTGTGTAAACATTCTAATTTTTTCACAGGTTTTCAAGACCTTAAAATGCTTACACATTTATGTGGCTGCTCTTTTAGGATTTTAAGGTTTTTCAAAGTTAGTTGTCAATGGTCTGGAGAACCCGGTGCCTTCCCCAGACCATGTAAGAAAATTTTACAAATCCTTTAACAGGACAGGATTGTAGGATGTTCAATTCTAAAATCCGTAACTTCCTTAATTTTGAACGGCTGCCCTTTAAAAAAATGCAGGTATTTTAGAATTTTAAAGGATAAACGTTTTCAGGTTCTTAAGGACTTTAAAGCCTTTTAAATACTGAAAGTTTTGAATGGCTTTAAATACCTTAAAGCCCTTAAAACTTTACAGGGGCTGCCCATTCAAAAACAATTAAGGATTTTAAGGGTTTTGAAAATTTGAAATGGTCTGGGGGAGCCCCGGTGCCTTCCGCAGATCATCTAAATTTTAAAAAACCCCGAAACCCTGAAAAGCCTCAAAATTCTAAATGGCTGCCCTTCTAAAATTTTATGGAGCCGCAAGACACACGTTTCAGAAGCAAAAATGCACATAAAAACACTAGTGTTTTTATAGGGGATAATATAATAGAGCCTTCTGTGTTTTCCAGTACAGTTTTTGCTGCATTTTCCGAGGAAAAAACAGAAAATCAGACAAAGACGAAGACAGGAAAACCACAGGTGTGGATCATGGGGGGGGGTGGGGGTGACTTTATTTATTTATCTATTTATTGATTTATGTTTATTCATTTGTTTTTTATTTATTTGGAATAATGCGTTTGGAGCCTGACCTTTCGTGTGGATGTGCAGTGCTCTTGACGCCAAGTTGAGGGAACCCTAACCCAGAACCCTGAACCCTAAACCCTAAACCCCGAAACCCTAAACCCTAAACCCCTAAACCCTAAAAGTCCCAAGACTGCCCACCCCCAGAGATTCCTGGCACAGAACCCTGCGGAGCATGTTGCCATTCCTCAGGTATTTTGCCCTACTTGGCTGTGCCTGCCGGCTTGCAGCCAGTTGCTTGTAGGGTCTAGGGTTTAGGGTTTAGGGTTTAGGGTTTAGGGTTTAGGGTTTAGGGTTTAGGGTTTAGGGTTTAGGGTTTAGGGTTTAGGGTTTAGGGTTTAGGGTTTCGAGATAGCTTTTGGCGAAGTACCGGACGATGCCCGCACGCAACTACTAGTACCAACCGGGTCTGAGAGGTCCGGATTAGGGTTTAGGGTTTAGGGTTTAGGGTTTAGGGTTTAGGGTTTAGGGTTTAGGGTTTAGGGTTTAGGGTTTAGGGTTTAGGGTTTAGGGTTTAGGGTTTAGGGTTTAGGGTTTAGGGTTTAGGGTCCTCTAGATGCTCATTGTCCACTGGTCCATTGACAGAATTCATCGAGTGGCGGGGGGGGGGCTTCCCCCCTTAGGGTTTAGGGTTTAGGCTTCAGGGTTTAGGGTTTTCAGGGTTTAGGGTTTTCAGGGTTTTGGGGTTTGGGTTTTGTGTACATGTTTAGGGTCCAATGTTTAGGGGTGCCTGGTGCTCAGGGTCTAGGACTTAGGGCTTCGGGTTTTTGGGTTTACGGTCCAGGGTTTAGGGGGTAGGGTTTTCAGGGTTTTCAGGGTTTTGGTTTAGGGTTTACGGGTTCATCCAAGAAAGGGGGAGTCCTCTCCACAGCAAGAACAGCTAATCAACGGCAGGTGTGACTTGGAGTGCTTGTGTTGGGGTTTCGACGATTGGTTCTTGTTATGGTTTGGGCGCCGTCTCAATGTCTGAGACCTCACATCGCGCACACTGATTTCCTTAAAGCGAAGCCCCTAACCCCTTAAACCCTAATTGGATGTGAGGGGTACCCTAAACCCTAAACCCTAAACCCTAAACCCTAAACCCTAAACCCTAAACCCTAAACCCTAAACCCTAAACCCTAAACCCTAAACCCTAAAGAATGGCTCAAACTCAGCTCATCCTGAAACCCTTCAGACAAGAGCAAGAACAAATCCTACGCCCCAATGCCCTACCCCCTAAATTAATCCCCTAAGCCCTAGGCCTTAAACCTTAAACCTTAAACCCGCAACCCTAAAGCTTAAAACCTTAACCCAAAACCCTAAAACCCGAAACCCTCAAAAGCCCTTGAAGGCCTCATGGGAGCCTTTGTTTTGAGGCCTTGCGGGTCCTCATCGACCTCTGGCTGAAGGGCTTGGACTTCGGCGTCACCACTTCCGACCCAGGAGATGAGTTTTTTTTAAGTTTTTTTTTTTGGGGGGGGTTGTGTTTAGGGTTTAGGGTTTAGGGTTTGGGGTTTGGGGTTTAGGGTTTAGGGTTTGGGGTTTGGGGTTTAGGGCTACAACTCTACAATCCTTATCAAACCCTACAGCCACACGTGAGATTTGACAAGCCCCTGCTGTACGGCGTTTAGGGTTTAGGATTTAGGGTGTAGCGGATCGTGAAGGTGCACTCGATATGTTGCATTGACTGGTCTTCCGTAACCAGTGCCCTAAACCCTAAACCCTAAACCCTAAACCCTAAACCCTAAACCCTAAACCCTAAACCCTAAACCCTTGTGGGGAGTAGGGTTTAGGGTGCCAAAGCCAGTGATCCTTCGCGGCAGGGCTTCTCCTTCAACCCAACGGACCGGGCCTTCTCGCTGAACCCACAGGCGGCGCACAGCGCCCATCTGGCGCGGGTGCGGCCGCGCCTGCTTGAATTTGGCCAGGCGCCTCGGAGCGTGCAGCTCGGGCGCGTGAAGCCGCGCCTGCTGCAGTTGCAGGGGGTGCCGCAGCAGCAGCAGGTGCCAGCGCAGCCCATGATGCCCCAAGATGCGACGTCGCCATGATGGTTGCTTTTTGGGTGCTCTCAGGGGAGGTGGTGTGCGTGTGCCCTGGGGGGCCACGTCCATCTCCCCTGCCCCCGTTGTTCCTGCTCTTCGGTCTCCTGTTCCTCTCTCTTGTGTTTTTTTTCCCTCTACTTGTCTCTCGCTGTACCAAGGTGCGCTGGGGGAGATGGTGTTTGTCTGGGGGGGTTGGGCCAGAGTTTTTTTTTTTTCTCTTCCTTTCTTTCTGTTCTTTCTGAAGCTGTCAGTTTTGTACGACTTGGAGTGTAAGGCCTCCAATGCATGATTCTGATCTGGGGATCTTTGAATGCGCAGACACAGAACCACTTGGAGCTCATCACGGCTTCAGGACATGAACTTGCGGATGGGTCTGCTATCGCAGTCATGATGTCTCTAAGGCACAGATGACTCAGATGAAACATGAGTGGTCGTTTTTTTTCTCCACAGAATGCCGGAAGGCCACATGTCGAATGGCTTTCGTTGTTGCTTCGGCGGCCGTCGTGGTCCTAGTCTGATGTTTTGTAGTGTGGTTTGCCTCTGTTCTCATCCCGAGCGACGTCATGGACTGTTAGGCTTGAGTCCCAAAACATGGACAAAGAGCATCAGCTGCGGGTAGTGCATGAAGGGTGCAGAAGCCTTTTGTCGAACTGTGAGATGGAGAAGGAGAGCCAAATCAATCCTGACTGCAGCTGTAGCTGACATCATGGAAATTACCGGGCTGCGTGACGATTGTTTTGACCTTCGTGAGCATATCCGGGGCATCAAGTGTGGACACAAGTTCCGGGTGGACCACCTTATCAAGGCTGCCCGTGTTGCGTGTGACATGTGTGACAAGCAGGCTGGCTCGGGAGATGATTCACAGACCAGCATCCATCATTTCTTCAAAGTGTCAGGATCTGAGGCTCCTGAGACCGAGCCTGTCATGGATGATTCCAAAAGACCGTCCCCGCTTCCGACGCTGAGCTGCAGGATTTCTTCTCCTGCGGTGCAAGGGGGTCCGCCTTGCCGCCACATGAGATGGCATTCGGCCAGTCTGTGGATGACTGGGAGCTTCGTCACATCCCTGCTCAAGTTTGGCCTGCAACTCATTGCAAAAAAACGCAAGTTCGAGTGGCACAGCAAAGACTTGGGCGCGTCAGCTGCGTCTTTCCATGATTCAGCGCGGTGCTTGGATGGGTCTGGGCGCCAGTCGCATGAGCCGGTAACCCTGGATTGTGAAGGGCGTCTGCGTCAGTCCATGCCAAGTCCTGTTGAGCAGCCTTGCTTTCCATCCCAGACTACAGCAGAGAATCTCTTGCCAATGATGGTTCTCATGTTCAACATGGTACAAGCGATGCAACCATCTTCTTCAGCTAGGGGTGCTTCTGTGGATATCGCTCGTCCTCGCCCACACGGCGCAGAGCCATGCCGACAGGGCGATGCTATGACAGAGACCTTGGGTGACTGCGCTGCAAGATGGAAGAGACTATTGCTTCCAGACGCCTTCGGCAGAATGCCAAATCTCGAGGCCATAATTGGCCTTGCGGCTTCCCATCCAAAGCCGCCGCAGCGAGCTCTCTACAGCCACCCCGGTGAGGTCAAACGCCTTCTAGCTCAAGACGGGGCTTCGACCATCGGCGTCTTGTTCAAGCCGGACAACATGTCTGGAAGCGTCGCCGTTTATTTAAAATCAGGCAAAGTCATTATTCAGGGCAACTCGCGCCAAAGCAAAATGATGATTGAGAAGATGGTGCAGCCATGGACCCAAATGTGGCCACTTGGAGGAGTTGCAGCCAGGCGCGCTGGCGCTGCTTTCTCCAATCTCCCTACTCCAGAAATGGCGCGAGCCATGGCTGCAAACTTGCCTGGAGCCGGATAGAAATCTTTTCACTAGTCTGTTTGTGCATACATTTTGTTTTGCCTGCATGACAAGGCGCATGGTGCAGCCGTAGGCCACTTTGTGCCATTGCAGAAACACCTGCCACGTTGGTAGGACAATTCGGGCAGCGAGACGGCTACCCTGCAGGGAAATGAGGGAAATACTGGCCAGTGGGATTGCTTGCCTCTGTCTTGACTCTTGATGTGCTGCTTGCAGTGGCTCAAGTTTTCTTGCTGTACGTATTGCCTCCCACTCATGCGCAACTTAGTGGATGAGCTCTCGCAAGCTTGTTCTCGTGCGCTACAGCACAGGCAGCGCTATCCTGCTCGACCGATTTCTCCAAGGGCCAAAGAGGTTCTAGACTTGGCGTGGCAGAGACTCCTGCGCGAGGGCCAAAGACTTAGCAGCTCAGAGGTGCCGGACTCTCTTTCGGATGGTTTCTGCAAGAACACTGCTTTCCAGCTTCTGCAGGCAATTTCGAGAGGGTTGGAAGTGGCCAGCTGCATCAGGCCTTTGATTCCGTCTGACGCAGCGCGTATGTCTGGCACTGCTGTGGCGCCAGTATTATGCTGTGCAGCTGGCAACCCGGGCCGTTCAGGATGCGCTTCGATCGATGGCGCTCATGTCCTGTGGCATAGGTTGGTTGGTAGCCCATGGTCTGCTGCAACAGCCATGGATAGGCTAGGTCTGCACCTTTTGGGCTTGCCTGCGGCGAGACTCCCGTCGGGCATTAGTATCCCTGGTGCCTCGCACTTGCACCTCCTTGCAAGAGGGGGCCCTTCTTACCATAGTTGTGCAGTTCTCTGGAGGGTCGACAGTCCTTTCGTTTTTGCTGAAATCACTAGTGTCGGGTCGAATTGCCGCTGTTGGGTTTCTGTTTCCTTTCAGGGTGCGCTGGTAGCTTGTGTAGGGTTCGTCGCCATGCCTACTCAAGGCGGCACAGACCTTGAACAAAAGTGGCATGCTGAGCTGGAGGGCCTGCGAGCGGATTTGCATATCCTTAGAAGCTCTTATCGGTCTGAGACAAGGGCCCCGAAGATTTTGATCTTGGGGGACTGGAATGTACAGCCCTCGTGCCTTGGAGGCGGCCCTGACCCGCGACCTTTGCGTGATACTTGCTTGTCAGGACTAAATTCTGATTTTTCGTTGATCCTTTTGAACCCCTCTCTTGCAGGAGACCATGCAAGACAAGTCATGCTGCCGTACCGTCAGTCACAAGTTTCTATTAGAACATGCGACACTCACTACGGTGCAGGCCAGTCAAGGGCCATAGACCTCGCGCTGTGCGCCCAGGACACCGAAGCTCAAGTTTTCATACATAACGGTCTCCACTGTGCCCAAAGCGCTGCGTGCAGCTGGGCAATGTGTGCAGGTTTTGGGAAGAGCGACCACTTCCTGCTTGAGGCTAGGGTCAGCTTGGACACCCTGTCGTCCGAAACCGAGGCTGGCGACAACAACAACTCTGGTTGTCAGTTTCCTCGCCAGTGGCACATGACTACAAGATGGCAAGAGGCTTTCATTCATGTTGAGCCTGCAATCACCGCTTTGGTAGCCTTGGTTGTCTGTCTTAGGGTTTCTTTGGATGCTGCTTTGGATTGTCGCAAACGTTTTCCTGCTGTAAGCATTAGGAGATGGTTCCTTGACTGCGTATGTTGGTTACAGTGGCTTTTAGCGTGCGTGGCGCGAGATGGCTGGGTTCATCCTAGCTCCAGCGCAACGAATAACACGGCTCCGGCCCGGAATGCCCCTGCCCTCGCCGCGCATTCAAACTCCACCACTGAGGTTCGCAGTTTGCTCAGGTCATTTCTTGCCGCCTCTGCAGATTTGCCTGTAAATGTGGTTCAGAAATGTTTCAAGCTTTTGCGAAAGCCTAAGGTTCAGCTCCCTCCTTTTATGCAGGCAGCAGGTGTTCCATTATCGAGAGCTGGGACACACCGAGCATGGTGTGACAAACTAAGAGCACAATGTGCCGGGCCCACTTTGCCTTCACAGGAAGTAGAGCTGCGCATGTGCCGTGCGGCTGCTTCCCTGCTGGGCAGGGCTTGGGCAGCACGAAGTCAGCATGCTCCAGACATTTTTGAACCGGAGGTTTGCGCAGTTCTATCAGGCTGGAAATCATCAACGGCAATCCCCCCGGACCTCATTCCGCGGGCGGCTTTTGTCTGCAATAATACAGCATGGCGAACACTGGTGTGGCGATTGTGCCAACTTGCAGGACCGGGTTCCTGGGCACTCCGACCCAGCCTTTGGCGTTGGGCCAGCCTGGGCACAACATACAAAAAGGGGGATGTTCATGATTGCAGCTCGTGGCGTCTGCTCTTCATCAGGTCCCAAATGGGGCTTCTTCAGGAAGGCTTGCTTGCTATACATCTTCGTCCTGCAATTTGGGGGTCCCTCTGTGAAGGCCAGTCTGGTTACATGCGGAGCACGGACGACCCACTTATGGTTCTACATGATCTTTCCATGGACGCCCTGTCTTGTGGTAGGTGTTTTTTCGCTGTTTTAGGTGATTTTGAAAAGGCTTTCCCCTCAACATGGCGCGAAGATATTCTGTGCCTAGCAGCCAAGTGTCCTGGAGTTGCTGGCGGTGTCCTCCATCTGCTTGGCGATGCCTTAGCTTGGGATGCTGTTCATGTGCTCCTCGCTGGTTCGGGGGTCATTAATATTTGCCAGGGTTTGCCTGAAGGAGGTTGCTTAGGCCCCATCCTCTATACGCTGTTGCCAGATTCCCTGGCCCGCATCTTGGCGCAAGAGTCGTGTGGAGTGGCAATGCAGCCTGGTATCCCGCTGCTGTGGCAAGGTCATCAATGGAGTGGACAGGGCACGCCGCGAGACGATTGGACTAGGAGAATCTTGCACTCTCTTCCGCAGGGTCCGGATTTGCCCTCCTGTGCAGCCCTGCGACGACAGCAGGACCTGGAGGCCTCAGCAGCTCGTGCCTTGGACCTCAATGCTGCAGACCGTTTGGCTATACTCCTGCACGCGGATGACCCTGTGCTCCTTGCCTCGTCATGGGGAGAGCTTTGCAGGATGCTGCTCATCGTGGAAAGATGGGCTCCTTTGCATGGTGCCTGTTTCCATGTGGGGGCAGACAAAGCAGTCCTGATGAGAATCGGGTTCTGGAGCCATTACCCCCATCATGTTTCGTCCCAAGCTATCTGTGGCGCCGACGTGCCTTTCAATCTGCAACTACAACCACAAGTGGCTTGGATGGTTGTGGTCCCAAGAGGGTGGTGCCTCTGAGACACTGCAGATCCGACTGCGATCTGCCAGTGCTCAGTTTGCATCCCTTTCAGGACTTTGTATTCAGGGGTCTTTTCCTTTGCCTTTTGTTCTCGGGTTGTTTGACTCTAAGGTTGACGGGGTTCTAAGTGTAGGCAGATGGCTTTATGCGGTCATGGCGCCTGAGGCGGAAGAGTTGCTGAACAGTACGTTTGACAAATGGGCTAGGGTGTTAGTAAGGATGCCACCGTGGCAGTCTGCGCACCTTGCCCGCTGGGAGTTGGGTTGGGGTCTCACAGGTTCTGCGCGCGCTCTCCTTGACGTTGCTTCCCGCCGAGCGCGCATTCAGGCATGGCCATATGAGGATTGGTACCGTAAAGCGTTTCACAGAGCCTCGTCGTCTCCCGCATCTTGGGCTGCTCGAAGTAGGCAGCTACTGCAGACATGGGGCATATGTGACTTTGTTGAGGGTGACACTGGAGCAGGGCTTCGAGCTTATAAGACTTATGTCCGCGCCTCCTTGCAACAGATCTGTTCTGCGAAGACAGCACAGGTGATGACTGCCTCCTCGCAAGCCCCACTCCTGACCAATGCTTTCCCACGAGGTGAGCCATCTAGTATGCTCGCGACTATCCTGCGAACCCCTGCGGACTGGGACACTTTGGTAGCCGCAAGATCGATCTGCAGGCTTAGACTGGGTTTACTTACGCTAGGTGCTAAAGGGGATAGACCCTCTCGGGCAAGAGTGGTGCAGTGCGTGGCCTGTGGACGGCCCACAGTGGAACCACTTGCACACACTTTGCTTCGATGTGAGGCATGGGCCTCCTTTCGGCACCCTCCCGAAGTGTGGCAGGGAGCATCGCTGCAGGAGATCTTATGCTTACAGCCAGAGTCTGCTGGCTTCAACCATTTTGCTTCGATGGCGGTGGCTGTGGAGCGTCATGCCAAGGCTTTCTGGTCTGCAAAACCCGGCGCCTTGAGGCGGATGTGGCCGTGATTATTGTGCGTGGGCCGCAGGTGACAAGGATGTGCAAAAATAGAGAGTGATTTGATCGGCAACTTGGCGAACATAACTGATCAAGCCCATCCTGCTGAGCTATGGGCCACACTGTTGTGTGGTTCCGGCCAGGAGGTTGCCGGGGTTTTGTCTTGTGTTGACCCGGAACACTTCTCCCACTGTGTGGTCCAGGGTAACCAGCGTAACCAGCGTTTATATTCTCGAGTTATAGGGATTCTAGGGCCTGGGGCTAAGGGCTGAGGGTCGCCCACGCGCTTTTAGGGTTTAGGGTTTTGGGTTTTGGGTTTGGGGTTTTGGGTTTAGGGTTTAGGGTTTAGGGTTCAAGGCTTCAGGGTTTAGAAGGTTTAGGGATCAGGGGGGTTCGCTCTGTCTTGGCCCGGCCAGTGTATTTCACCCGTCAGGACCCTTTCACGTCTTCTCACATCGATGTCGGCACCTTAGACCCCAACCCACCACAAGGCCCAAAGGGGCCAACGGCGGGCCAAAGGGGCTTGGGGTTGGGGTTTAGGGTTTAGGGTTTAGGGTTTAGGGTTTAGGGTTTAGGGTTTAGGGTTTAGGGTTTAGGGTTTAGGGTTTAGGGTTTAGGGTTTAGGTGTTTAGGTGTTAAGGTGTTTAGGTGTTTAGGTGTTTAGGTGTTTAGGTGTTTAGGTGTTTAGGTGTTTAGGTGTTTAGGGTTTAGGGCTTAGGGTTTGGGGTTTATGGGTGAGGGTTTAGGGCCATAGGGGCCAAAAGGGAGGCTTGGCTTAGCCTCTTCGACTTT